CGACACGGATTAAAGCCAGTTGTAAGCACAAATTTTCATATGACAATATACATTGTCTATTTATAAGTAGTAAATATGATCCATTCATCAAGTTGTGAAACAATAGATAATTAACATAACTGAATTTTGCGTACACCTTATGACCGTACAACAATGAGACCGAAACAGACTATCATAAATCAGAGGGACTGTACTGTGCATAAATAAAGACGTTTCTGTCCACTTGAAGTACTGGACTATTGACAAACTTCGTAGAAAAAGGGGGCGTGGTTCTAATGAAATTCTTTGCCCTAAATAAATTACAGTGAACAGATTATGTATGTGATTTACTTGTAGATCATTGGAATCACTTATTGTCGATGACCATGCAGTGGCGGATCCAGAGGGGGGCAGGGGGGTCATGGCCCCTCCCAAACGCATGACGATTCATATCATCTGGATTACGCATAGCTTCTCTGCGGTTTACGCTCCGTATATCTTAAGCGAAGCTTGGACCCCCCCCCAATACATTTTGCTGGATCCGCCACTGTGACCATGGGTCAAGTTCAAGTTATGAACAGATGAATTACTACTGAATTAGGTTTATTTATTCGCTAGGTTTTAAATTTTGCTTATTTCTCTAATATGGCAATTTACCTATAGAATGACGCGTTCCTTCACAAACAAGTGACTTTGAAACCCAGTGAATTTCTATAGATGAATTGTATAGGTGACACTCATATTGAATTGGTATAGCCATATGAATCATGAATAATTAGTTTCGTACATGAGCACGTATTCTGGTTTCCTGCTGAACGCTACACAGCTCAATTGGATTTTATAAGCTTTTTTAGGGACAAATTTCATGTTGCAGACATTTTATTAATAACATTGTTTTTAAAACTTAGGCACCTGGAATCAGTGATTAACTACTAATAGGCAGGTTTGAAGAACAGTTGTAAACTGTTTTGGATTTTCTGGAATATCATATAAATTATTAAGGTATCAACAAACGTAACATGCATTAAAAATTAAACTGTGATTCAGACATCCTCTAAAAGTTTCTAATCATACTGCAATAACATCTTATATATTATCTAAAAGCTTAGATATGGGCGAATACGGAAGTGTATATGCCATGTCATGACGGCCAGTATCGCGTTTGTGCTATTTAGACTATTAAAACATCGTTTTTGCAATAAGGTAGGGGCGCAACCCCACCCCAACTCAATACCCCCACTTCTCTGCATTTTTGGAGATTCAAACAAAATCTTTCGGTGCCTCGCATTTCACACATTACTTTAGAAATCTAAAATATGCTACATAACTAATTTGTGATCTCTAGCGTCATCAAAAGATGGTATATGAGTACACAGTCCCTCTATCACATAGAGGGACTGTGATTAGTAGTACTGACACAGTGACAGCAAACTCTTTCAACGCTCAACTACACATGACGCCCTCCGTTGATGACAGCCTGCTCTTGTGCAGCATGGTATGCAAATTTCAGGATGCGTGCGCAGCTTCACTCAAACTTAAAAGTCTACAGAAGTTAGAAGAGAGTGTGTGTGTGTGTCAGTTCGTAGGTAAAACATTCCGATACTGTCAGATGTTGTTTCTCTGTGAGAGTTACCGCGAACGATGCGACTCCGAGCCAAACGGACGCTCCAAGGCTTGGTACTGACAGCGATCCTGTGTCTGATTGCTCTCCAACTCAGCATACCGAGCAATGGCTCGGAGATCACGGCGGAAGTTGAACGAGGAGGGGGACATGGCGATGGTGTTTTTGATGCTCTTCCATTCATGAGTGAGAAAGTGGACGGTGCAGGTATATCGAAAGCCCTCTTTCACGATAGAAGGCACATACAAGGACTGCCAGATGCCCAGATTGATTCTGTGAGGAGAAAGGCAGTCGACAAGTTCCAGCAACTGAATTCAAGCGACGAAGCCTCCTTGTTTTCACAGGACGAAGGAGACATTGTTGACCAGCGACCAGCTGCACACAAACCAAAACATGGATCGCTTGCCCAGATTCACTCGAACGTTTACAACCGTAATCGAACTCAAAGTAATAATTCAAGCAATGTTCAACTCGGTGGATATGCCAAGTTGAGCATGGGACTTCTCGATATGTCTCAGATGGTCACGTCGCCAGTAAACAGTCCTCGGAGGACGGAACTCTCTGACATATTTATTGGGGTGAAGACGACGAAGCGATACCACGCCGAACGCCTGGATTTGCTACTTGATACTTGGGTTGATATGTCCTTAGAGCAGGTAATTACACTTAATTTGTTATCGCGAAAGTCTCCCCGACTTCATTAAAATTCCAGTGATGTTTTCAGGGCTTTTCAAGTTTTCTCTAGTATTTTTTTAACATTCAAAACACTTAAATATTTAAAGATGTATCCCGAATAAAATTTAAATTTTTTTTTTTTTTTTTTTTTTTTTTTTGCTGCATATTTAAATCACATTCACTGATTGCAACTGATCTATTTATATCCGCGCCCCCGCTGTGGTGGTCGCGTTTGGTACAGAATTTTAATATCAAGCCGATCATGATTTGTGGTAGTACGGGTCTCCGCATTGCAACGGGATTCCTCGCAGCTGGACGGTTCTACTACCGGAAATTGAGTATATCACGAGCAATTCCGGCATTAAATCAATGGTCCAACTCTACGGTTGAAACCAGACCAGCTGGTCAGGGAATTTAAATGTCCATAATGGGCGTGACAATGCCGTGAAATTGAAAATGGTAGCGCGTCTACCAGGCCTGCCAGTCTCCCGAATGCCTTGTCACGAGTATTTATTTATTTTTCACAGTGCGTTGACACTTCACCAAATAAACCTCACCATGTGCAAAATCAAACATGAAAACAATGCATTTATATCACACTGAACATGAAAATACATGTCATGGTGCCAGCTAAAAAAATGGTCAGTTTCTATTGATAAATACTGTACAATAGTGAGTATATGCAGCATCTTTCGATTGTGTTAACTAGTGGGGCAACCAAGACAACGGACAAACCACAGTGGGGAGAATGTGCTCAATGACAAAATTGATAGAATCATGGAATAATCAACATAATATTTGTCTACATACATAAATGTAAATTGTTTGCGAAGGACATTATCGGAATTAAAATTTTGGCAGTATGATCGATGTGCGTGGTTGCTCTTCTCTTTTAGAGCAACTATAGTGTGTTCAATTGTCCCTTCACAGGTTGATTAATTAGGGTCCACTACTTTAAAATGAATTGAATGAATAATAATGTCAGCTATGTGATCAGATTGACTGTCAGACCACTCAGATATTTATAAAATGAGCTGTAGTCAGAGAAAATGATGGAATTTAGCAATTATAGTATAAAATTTCTGATGCGGAAGGAATCTCTCAGTAAAATGGTTAATTGAATCCCACATGGCTTGTCAGTTCTTCAAAATTTGTCAGACTCGTGTTGGACATGAACATTTGTTTCTCGTGAAGTTAATCAAAACAATCTAAATTCCATTTGTAGAACTTGACAACTTTTGACAAATGTTAATTAAAATGCATTGTTTATTATCACAATAGGAGCCTTAAACACAAAATGGTAAGTGCAAATGGGTTGAGATTTTCTCACATCAGCCTATAATGTTTATGCTGATCTTGCAACATGAAGAATATCCTTCAAGTTCACTGTTCATCAGGACCCACCTTTACACCATATTTTGCATCCATCTAAAGTTTAAAACCAAGGACATGGTGACTGCACATATCAAGTGTTCACTAATGCCAAGTTTTATCCCGGCTACCTATTTGGGACTAAGATCATGATTGTATGGCACCTCAATCCGGATACTTGACATATGCAAAGATCTCCAATTTGAATACAATCTTAATCACATATAATTCTGGATTAGTGATGGATCAATTATTATGCATTATAAGAGATCAGATCAACAATTTATTATTCCATATATATTCCAAAATTAGATAACGGTTCGTATACCACACTGACTTTTTGCACTTGAGTTGTCCGTGCCTTCTGGATCTTTTCATATCCAATGCCCCGTGTAAACTGGCAGTATTTTTATAATAAAGACATTTAACTGATGAATAATAGCCATTTCCAATCACGTAAAACTGTCTAGGTGATGTCAGGTCACTGCATTGTTCTCACAGTCAATGATTTAAATGACTCTGTATAAAGGTATCTATATTTTGTGGAGTCTTTCAAAAATAATGTTATTACAAATTCTAATTGATCTCTTGTAGCTTAAGTGTAAAACGTGACACGATTTATTTCAGTTCAGTTCTTTTGACGGTTCATGCTTATTTTGTTTTCACTGTCACATATACACATGTAGTTTTTGATTTGTCTGAATATTGAATTTTAATACATTACTTTTATTTAAAAAAATGTTCATGGTCACTGTGCAAAGATATTGTATTAAAAAATCTGAATGTAGACTCTAACTCTATAATGATGACCTGTTTTGTACTTCTGGTAAACTATTTGTCAACTAATTAATCAAGTCTGTGTCATACATTCAAGTCTCTCCAAAGTCATTCTGGGTTGCATTTTTAGCTCCGCTGTCAACTTTGTCGAGCGGAGCTTATCATTTGAGTGATTGTTCGTCGTCGTCCGTGTCAATGTTTTACTTTTTTGACTTCTTCTTGAAAACTGTAAGCCTGAATGCTTTGATACTTGGTGTATATATACCCTATGTAGACCTCTCTCAGATTTGTTCATTTCATGATGATATCTTCAATTCTCTAATTTTGGTGAATATTTTTGTCATTTTTGGTAAAAAGTGATATTTTCGACTTCTCATTAAAAACTGCAAGTCCAATTGCTTTGATATTACATATATAGGTACTACATGTGAACCTCTCTCAGATTTGTTCATTTTGTAATGATATCTGTAATTCTCTAATTTTGGTGAATATTTTTGTCATTTTTGGTGAAAAGTGATATTTTCGACTTCTTGTTAAAAACGGCAAGTAGCTTGAAGTGAAATTGAATTGAAAATTCAATTTTGTATAGCTATCTATAGCAAAGATCAACAAACCGTTCCCCCCCCCCCAATTTCCAAATGGACTATAAATTTATAATCATTAAGAATGAAATGAAAAAAAAGTATCAGCAGTTATTATCATCTGTCAGTATTCCATGAAAAAACAGACTATAAAAATGATTTAAACGATTAAAACCATTAACAAAACTAATCAGGAATTGTCTATTTCTATGCCGTCAGCAATAATTTATAATTAGTTCAAATTTAATTTATTTGTAGATTACAGCTCATTCACGCTAGTGTCCTATTTTTCTATCTAATAACATTCTCTAATTTCTATATTTCCACGTTGAGTCCCGTGAGGGATTCATAATCTCGTTTTTATGGTCAAATTGTCAATTAAACATTAATATTTAATAAGTATATATTGTCACCCACAATTTTAATGCATATATTGTGTATTTTTCACATATTTAAGATGGTTATTAATATTAATGATGAAAAGTATTTTAATTTACTTTGTTAAATTTGATTATTATCCACTTTGTGTATGCGAAATGCGCAGTGATGATTTAAATTATAATGCAGAGAGAGAGTCAGCAAAGGTTGTCCAAATAACGATGGGCTCTCGTATAATTGTTATTCTATACAGGGTTTTATTGCGTTCCTGTTGTATTAATAATACAGTCTTAAAATGAATGCTATTAGTTAAAGATGAAATACTAAACTTAGGGGTTAACCATTATAACATTGAGGGGGGGTTATTTGGTAGATTTGAAAAAACAGGGAAATTTACCTAAACAAGTATATTACCTAAACAAGTATATTACCTAAACAGACACCCATATTGGATAGAAGCAATAAAAAAAAATTCACATCATCATCCCTCAAAATAAACTTATAGTAGCTCAAAACTACATGTAAGGCAGGTAGGAAACCCCCCCAGAGTTACTATGGTCAACCCTTAAATGACACAGTGTATTGCGAACATTATTATCGGCTGTGTTAGTAATTGTTTTCTCATCTAGAAAGATATTTGAGCATCATGTCTAGTTACGATTAGGAATGTTGAATGATGACGTTAAAGGCTCTTTTTAGAAACCAAGAAAGTTGCTTCAGAATGTGTATGATACTTTGTCAACTAAAGACCAAATAATGGCAGTGAAAATTTTTGAATGGAGTAGGAAAATGTTTCACTCTACAGTTTACAAAAAAATATCTTTAATATTTGTAAAGCACTCGTAATCAGAGATTTTTCATTCAAGAAAATAAATGTTCATTGTCAAATTTAAGACATAAATTAAAGATCATAATTGCCAGTGTACACCTGATTCACCAAGTCTTCTCTTTCGTAATATCATTATCATCTCTTACAGTATTTTCACTATAATCACATTAAATTATAATAAGACATTTGTTATCTTTTTAAAGAGGTCAATCACCATCTTTAGGGAGTTGTTTTCTCATTTTGGGATATATTACCTTATTATCAAAACTATAAAATCATTTTCTAGCCATTTGATCATGGTTTTATGTATCCTGGGAAATCTACTATTAGTATTTAGTAACTTTATGGTTTCCAAAAATGGCAGTGTCATGGTAGCTTGTGATCTGATCCCATGACGTATCCAACACTTGTTTGTTTACACTGAATTTGAATGTGCACTCCACATCAACTGTGCTCCTTGAATGTTTTCTCAACTGTGCATAATTACTTATTGAGGAGGGGGGGCAAGGTGGGGTATATTTTTTATAATTTGTCATTCAAGTTGAATGATAAATTGATTTTGATTGATTGATTCTACAATAATGCAATAAAATATTACGAAATATCTTTTCTTTTCAATAAATTTATATTAACTACCCGGTACAAGTTTTAATCTATATGTCAAGGGGAGTTACCATGTATAATGTATTTTACATGCATTGTTTTCATTGCATGGGGCATGTTACAGCCATTTTTTTAATTGATGTGTGTTATTCAATATTCCTAAATATTATTAATTTATTAATGGATTGTAGAGTAGTGTCACTTGTAGCTGTGGTAAAACAAGGCATTGTAGAATTACATTGTATCCCAGAATCCTCCGCTGTTGCATCTAGCAGATATAACCATTGATATCATTAGTGTTCATAAATATGTCTTCACAATTTGAATTTAAGCAAGACAGCTGGAAGGGTAAACTCTGACTGCGATGACATACAGGCCAATTCTCTGATAATTTTATAACTTAAATGTAGGCAACTGTTTAATTGCACAATTATGGATTGAC